TCAGCAACCAGCACGGATCAGCTCCAGGCATGACGAAGCAGATATCGTCCTCTTTTGGAAGGCCAAACAAAGTAGTTTCGCTTTCACAACGAATCACACAGTGCCTTCACGACATGGCGGCGGCAACAACAATACTACAGCGAGAATAAAAGTTACACCTTATTTCTTTGCGTGAACATTTGGGTGGCGTTATGCAAATCTTCCCACATCATGATGTAGACATGTGGGGGCGTGTTAGAACAAGCCGTTTTAGGTAGGTGTGGCTGACTCTTAACTTTTATAAAAAATATCTCTTTGGATTTGAGACTTTAGTCTTTGCAACTTTACAGATCTTCTTTATGCACCAAGAGCTTGTAACACTCTAATGAGAAAGGAAAAATTGAAATCGCATCATATGACCCCTTTAATTTAAAATAGATTAACCTTGGGCCTAAATGTAATATCAAATAACACTACAGTTCAAATTATAATCAAGTATGTGCTTTAGTACGTTAGCACATCAAAATAAGTGTCATTTTTTATGTATTACAAACGATTATTAAAACAACAATTTAAAATATACTTTAAAGTAAAACTAAAAAAAACTTTATTATATTATCTGCAAGTCTTTTTTAAAAATAACTACTCGTAAAATAACTATAAAATAACAATTTGTTGAACGTAAGGGTGCTTTTTTGTCCCACTTAAGCCAGATATAAGTACATCTTTAATGATTACTTCCGCTGTCTTATTATACTTATAATAGCGGCACTTGCATGTGACCAATTGAAACGTGTATGTTATGCATTTAAATATATTTGTGAGTTCACATTTGTATTGATTAAATGACAACTTAGTACCTTTAAAATATATTAACTTTAAATCTAATATCAAACAACACACAGCCAACATTACTCAACAAAGCACATCAAAATAAGTGTCATTTTTAAAGCACGACAAAATATTAAAACAATTATTTAAAATGTACTTTAAAGTAAAAAAAAACAACAACAACTTAATATTAAGTGCACCCTAAAAATGTAGTAATTAAGTATTAAAAGTGCACTTTAGTGTGTTAAGTAACATGACATGTTATACGCTCTTGAAATACACTTAAGTGAACCTTGGTAACACTTTAGCATAGGGACCAGTTCTCACTATAAACTAGTTGCTTATTAGCATGCCTATTATTAACATATTGGCTGTTTATTAGTGCTTAAAGCACTATTTTGCATGAGCATATTCTACATTCCTAATCCTACCCAATACCTCAACTTAACAACTACCTTACTAACTATTAATAAACAGCAAATTAGGAGTTTATTGAGGCAAAAGTCGTAGTTAATGGTTTGTTAGTAGTGAGAATTGGACCTTAAAATAAAGTGTGACCTTTTATTTAATCAATATTATATTATCTGCAAGTATTTTTTTAAATATACTTTTAAGATTTGAAGCACACTACAAGTGCACATTGAATACAACTAAGTTTCTTTATCACAAGCTATTTATAAACGTGAGCATTATATTAATATTAGTGCTGTCAAACAATTAATCGCGATTAATCGCATCCAAAATAAGTTTTTGTTTACATAATATGTGTGTGCTGTGTATATTTATTACGTATATATAAATACACACACATGCATATATATTTTTCAGAAAAATATGTTATGTTTATATATTAAATATAATATAATTTATATGAATATAACTATATACATGTAAATATTTTCAAAATATATACTGTATGTGTGTGTATTTATATATACATAATAAATATACACAGTACAAACATATATTATGTATACAAAAACTTTTATTTTGGATGCGATTAATCGCGATTAATAGTTTGACAGCACTAATTAATTCATAATAATATATGTGTGAATTTGCAGTTTTCTTACGGCTGATTCTCCTTTGATACTGTTCAATCACCTTAAGGAGCTCCATGCATGTTCTCTGTACTGAATGAAACACCTGAAGGGAAGTATGAAAATCCACATTCATCACATCACCATTTGATTCATTCAGACCCAGAGGAAAGTTTGGACTGGGTCCGTTCCTCACCTCCAGTTTAGCGTCCAGATCAGCATCGGAAGCAACAACATGCTCATCTTCCTTCTTTCCTGTGACTTTAATCAGTGTTTGCTTGGTTTTCCAGTATTTCTGCTGGAACTTGTTGACCACGGATGATTCTTGACTTTGGAGAAAGTGATCAAAATGAGAAATCCCTCTGCAAAGACATAACAAACCAATTATGAAGGCATCTCATTTGCTTAAGTCTGATACTTTATAATGAATGTCTGCAAATGGATGGTTTCTGCATACTCACTGGTTCCCTTTCTCCATGTTTGTCAGGTATCTGAAATAAAAATGTCATTATTTCATTATAGCTAACTGTCAACAGTGTCACGTTTGATAGTTTAACAGTTCTAATTTATAGAAGACAATTAGTCATTATGTTACTGTTTAGCATTGCACCTTGTAAATAAGAAATAATACAGTGCACTGAACATGCAGGCCTCTTCTTTATCTTTCAAGTGCATTTTTCTATAGGAACATATTATCATTAACAAACCTAACTGACAATATCTAAACTACAGTACACAAATCACTCACAATATCCAACTGTATGTGATTCTCACATCCGTATTTCATTCTCTGCCGCACCAAAACAAACACTAGCTATATTCTGTCATTATGCAACCTCTACAGTAAATACAGGAAATTATCTGTTTCTAATAATAACAACAGTGAATTGAATTATTGTGAGACTCACCTTATGAGCTTGGATCCCGGCTGCCGATGTTTTAAGACATGCTGTAATAGGAAAATAAAACGCTATATGTATGAAGGTAAAATGACGTCAAAAAGATCTGCATACGCAGGGTAATATTTGTGGAAGTGTACATAAGACTGTAAGCGTAAATTAAATTTACATGCGCAAGAGAAGCTTTGTAAAGGTGTAAATCGATTTTGCATTAGCATGAAGCTGCAGTTTCACAACACATGAATTACACTTAGAGTAACAGTAAAATGCTGCAAATATTTTTTTATTGCGCTTGAAACACGATTTACACCTTTACAAAGCTTCTCTTGCGCATGCAAATTTAATTTACGCTTACAGTCTTATGTACACTTCCACAAATATTACCCCGTGTATGCAAATATTTTTGACGTCATTCTACCTTCATATATATGTGCGTCATACGCACTGCGAACATACAGGAGGAATGAGTGAGTAGGCTACAATAGTGACATTTAGCTTGAAACAGACACTCTAAATGCGCAGTTGTGATAGTTCTGAAAGATTTGATTGCATTATTGTTATACTTTTGGTTTTCGTAGCTTTTAAAAGATTATTTAAGTTTCTTTGTGTCAGTATTCATCTGTACTTCTCAAGAATACGGCAGACGTTATCATGTTGTGCATGTTACTTTTCTCAGCGCTTATTTGAGTAGACTAATCACAGTCGTTTGCGATTATGTACATTTAAAGACGCTCGGGTGGGAAAAAGGAAACAAATTGAAGTTTGCACTAAGAAACTGAAGCCTGTTTTTAAATAAGTCTTAATGTAAAAAAATAAAGGCAGTGCAGATGCAAATACTTACATGATGTACACAGATGATACGATAAAAACGTATTTGTTTCGAAATATTGTAATATGCTAAAGCTCTCTGAAATGATTTAGAACCTTTAGAATGACCTTCAGAAATGTAGAATATTCGATACACATTAAGATAAACAAGCATTCTACATTCATTTTCAGTAGAAGTAATTGTCTCCAACAGTGTGTGGCATCAAACTGTAGGCCTATTCATTAATGAAATTACATTTCACTTTAGTTTCATAGCAGTTTCATTAAATCATCAGAGAAATGACAAAACCGTTGACACACGATCTCAGCAAAGCAAAATCAATTACAGGAGCTCATTAAGTTTTGCTCTGTCCATGTCAGGAATTATGACACCTATTCACCAGCACCTGCCACAGAGAAGTTCGTAAGTGTGCATGGAGACAAACCTGTACTAAGGGTGTCTTTAAAGATTTTTCATACATAAATAAATAAGTCATTAGTATATAATGAAATTAGTTAGATTCATCCCATTATTCTCCCCAAAATAGCCTTACAGTCTTAAATGTATATACAGACATGCTTGTCTTAATAAATGCAGTTGCAATATGGATTTTGTATGCATTTTCACTGACACTTGTTTTGTGATGTCAGTTGCATGAAAATGTCTTCCAAACTACAAGTCCCTTGTGTAACACTCATGCCAGCACAATCAAAAGATTACAGATTATTACTACAGATTATTACTATGAATCAGAATCAGCTGATGAGTAAATCATGACAGAATGTTCGATTAGTGAACTTTTCCTATTCCAGTTCAAAATGGAAACCTGCCCAGTTATCTTAGAATAAACACGTGTACTAATTTCTCTTTTATTACGAGACAAAATGATCATCCAAAAGGTAAGTACAGAGACTCGCTGTGGTAGTTATAGTCTGGACAGACTTTCTGCACCAGTTTGTAGTCCAAGCTATAGAAGTATATGTAGACACAGATGACTTTGAACGGTTTTGAGCAGAGCCAAGAAACATGGCTGTGAGTCTGATCCTGGTCGCAGCTCTGAGACGGGTCGTTCCAGCAGCGTGTGCTTTTGGTACCTCTCTCCACCCTCTCATGTTCCACCCTGCAGTTAAACATCCTCGAGTCCACCGAGTGCAGAACGTTTTGAGCCGCTGCATCAAATTCCACCACTTTGCTCGGAGGAACCAGCCCTAGGGAGACGTTTCCACCTCCGGTGGTGTTGTAGCGGAAATAAACGCTGAACGCTCCGTTGCCGTGATCCACGATCTTCCCAGCGATGAGCAGATTGAGGCTTGTGGACTGTACTTTGCACTGGAAATCTCCCCAGCCGAACATCTTCTTAGCTTTTCCTCTTTTCACCATGATCCGTTTCCTGGATTGTTGGGCAGACGGGTGTGTCTCCGTCAGGTTTGGAGCCCAGTCCCAAAGCTCCTGCTCGGGACATGGCCGGAGTTTGTCAGACAGGAGGGCTTGGTCGGCGTCACGGACATCGGGACTTGACATGGGCAATGGGTCTGAATCAGCACATGGATACTTCATTGTCGTCTTAGGTCTGTCCATTTGCAGAGACCTTGCAGTCAGAGGACTATTTCCTTTGGCATATCTGACCTGAGACAACAAAATGAGACAACAATGTAGTTTTACACACAACAAGAGATCATGAAAAATATCAGCATATAAACAGCATATCAGAAGGACAAGATCTCCTTGACTTCACTCGAAATGATTTGACAGCAAATCTGTCATTCAAGAGAGCTTTTATAAGTGAGCTCTGGGATCAATAATCCAAATATGACAGTTTTTTTTATACTATGTCACTTAATTAAAGAGCAGTTCACGTCCTACGTCAGGGTCAGTGCAAGGTCATTCCTGAAACAAATACGGAGATTCAAAAGGTGTCAGAGAGGTGCCTGTAATTGAATCTCAGCCATCAATATCAGATCAAAATGACCTACAGGAGAGTCAGGGAAAGATGGTCTGACTTACAAAAGCTAAAAGTGTCCATATTAGATAGAGTATATCTACATGAATAGACAGACAGATAGATAGATAGATAGACAGATAGACAGACAGACAGACAGACAGATAGATAGACAGATAGATAGATAGATAGAACAACAGAATGATAGAACGATAGAAAGACAGAGATAGATAGAATGGTAGATAGAACGATAGATAGACAGACAGACAGGACAAAAGAACGATAGACAGAATGATAGAACGATAGAACAATACATAGAATGATAGAGCGACAGACACAGACAGACACAGATAGATAGATAGATAGATAGATAGATAGATAGATAGATAGATAGAAAGACAGACAGACAGACAGACAGGACAAAAGAACGATAGACAGAATGATAGAACGATAGAACAATACATAGAAGATAGATAGATAGATAGATAGATCATGACAAACGTGTTCAGTACAGAGGTGACAGCACAGAAAAAACAAACATCTAATTCCAGCCCCCTGCAGTGATGAGTTAATGAGATAATTTAGGAAGATATAACAAAAACCTTTCATCCCATTCGCCTCATTTACATTTCAGAATTACTTTTTTATGATACACAATACAGTCAGACATGCTGCTTTAGTGCCAGAATGCTATGAAACATAATTAACTTAATTTGAAGACTGACAGTTTTTCCAAACAGCTCCGGGCAGGATTACGGCTTTCCGATGGCAGATTTACGGGAAGCTGGTTTAATGGATTAGGTCTCCAGCAGTTCCACACTGCCATCACACTCCAGCTATAAATAAGATCAAGGTGTTCCCAGCTCAGAGTTCATTTCCCAAAATGGAAATTTATGGAGTTGTAACATTCATAAACATGATTCAAAGCAGCCAGACGAGGTAATGCTTGTGAACAACAGCACCTTCATTTTGGATTAAAGTATGATTATGTATGATGGAATGCCAAGTAAACAGAATGGAACTTTTTTTTAGAATGATGAATAAAAATAGTGACATTTGAAAACAATACTTTTTTTTCCAAGCAATATCAAGACAGAACTTTTAAAGTTGGCTTAGGTAAACATAAATAAATAACAGTAGTGTTTAATTTAAATATTTTTAATATATCATATATATTGTATTATTTTTAAATATATAAAATATTTTGAATACTACTACTTTTACTTGAAATTTTAAGTCTTTTTGTATTTAAAATGATTTTATGTATGTATGTATATTATTAATGTATGTTATTTTAATAATATATTATTATTATTATTAAATACATCAAATTAAATATTTTGAATACTACTGTTTTACTAGAAATGTAAAGTATTTAATATATATATAAAAAAAACTATGATTTTTTTTAATTACATGCTTTTTATAGAATAATATGATTATGATTATGCTATAAGCATTTCTAAGGATCGGATCAGGTAGAAAGACCTGTACGTTTTCACTCTGTACAGTGCAGTCAGTCAGTCAAAAGAGGAATGAAATTCACCTGCAAGGATGAAATCATGACATACTGTAACTCATCTGAAACATTCACAGAGGGAGATACTATCTCTGAAACCAGCGCTCTCCTAAACTTGAAAAAGAATCTATGATTGCGTTGAGAATATTAGTGAATAAATCAGTAAGTCGTGATTTAACTCCATAGATCATGGTTAAAAACATAAACAGCACCGTAATCAGATGAACACAAAGTTACTGCAACACAGGAGCAATTCCATTGAACATGTCCAGGTAAAAAAAAAAAAAGGAAACCCCCAAAAATCGAAACTTATGACATCAACTCAATAGCTCTTTTCACAGAATTCGTATATTGGATCTTTATCTCCAGGGGTCAGACACTTACAGTCACACTTATATATTTATATAAAAAAGCAATAATCCTTTTGAGGCTCGAGCACCACATTGCCTCTTATTTCAATTAGAGACAAATCGATCTTCAGTCTGAGGTGTGAGCTGGACCTCATAGAGAGAGAGAGGAGGAGGCAGGACTGAAGAGACAGAAGTCAAAAACAAAATACTACTTCTGGTTCTTCAGCTCACAATGCTGGGATGTTGCATTATTAACGGTACACTGTAAAAAATGACCGTGAATTTAACGGTAAAAGACTGTAAAAATGCTACAGTAAAAACCTGTTAAATGGTTAACGGTAAATTCCCCTACTATATACGGTGAAAAACTGTATTGGACATTACATGTATTGGACATTAATTTTACGGTAGTATACCGTTTTTGGAAGTGAAAAAGACCGTATAATTTACAGTGAATAACCGTAAATTGACATTCCCAGAATTCCCTGCGTTACATTTCAACTTTGAGTTTTTTTTGTTGAAATAACTATGTTTCTTCTTAGTTTTTTCTTATCAGTTTTGTATATTAGGGTTGTGTGTTACACCTAATGTTGTTAAATGAATGTTTATTGCATTATTTCAGTTTCACCTGCATTTGGTGGTTATCAGTGTATTACAAAGGTACAAAACAGATTCCAGTACTTCAATAGGTTGGTATATTAACATTATATCAGTTAATAAAATTATGGTATTTAACTGTAAATTTAAGTTAAAACCATAAAACCTAAAACGTTGCTACCTTATTTTTTATGGTAAAATTCCGGCAACCACAGCTGCCGTTTTTTTTACCGTAAATTTTACGGATTTTTTTTTGCAGTGTATATGATGAGAAGTCCTGCTCCGATTAATACTAGAGAACATCTCTAAAAGCACTATGAATGATAAACTGCAGTTTGAAGTGCAATACATGAGACTGCAATTATTCACACATTCTTATTCACAAAATGTTGTTTCATCTGAAAACATGATGGACAAAATTGCTGACGATTCTGAGCAGTATTGATCTGAGGTCGACTAACGCGGATACGCGTTTTGTGGCATCTTCTCCTGATAACACCGAAAAGAACTTAAATGACACTTTCAGTTTTGATCTTACAGATAAGAGCAATACATCAATCGAATTTGTAAATGGTCTACTTTTATTTGTATACACACATAATAACAACAAAACTTTGTGCATTTATAAAATAAAGAAAACAAACAAGGTGCGCAGTCTGCTGCCTTGGTCTGCGTGATCTTTATTTAGAAACGCGTCATTAAAATGAACTGTAACTCAGCAAATACTCAACAAAGAGACATGAGAGATATATCTATAGAAAGCTTGACATGTCTACTTTTAAACTAAGCAAGTCTTATCGAAAGCAAATATTCTGTGATAAAGTAATCATATGAAACCAACGCGATGTCCAGTCTTTCACGTCTCCCTTCATTATATCTAATGCGACCACGCCCACACGCTGAGCGCGCTATAGATATTATAATCATCCACGTGAAGCGCGTGGCGTGTAAACGCCCACATCAGGGTTAATAAAAATACCAGTGTTCACATATTCTCCATATAATCCATCCTTCATAAAGCTCTCATAAACTGTGTTTCAGCCTTTGACCACATCTTGATTCTTACAGGACTTGTAATTGATCCCATTAGGATTGGTTCTAAATTCCAATAGAAATCAAGTACATTCCTTAAGGATTTGAGTTGACTGCCTGTCGCTGTCTGTGGTGCTGAACATCAGACAGCCAAACACATCAAAGAGCAAGCTCAACCCCCACAGCAAAGATAAGTATAAGAATTGGTGATAAAATGTAAATGTACTTACATCATTAATGGAGAGGAGTATCACGAGACACATCAAACTGCTCGCAATCATCATCATCATTTAGAAGGCTTCCGATTCTTGAACTTTCCTCACAGCTGTTCTGATCTCTGTGAAATGCTGAATGGCATTCAGTGAAGTTCAGGGGAAGCTGATCGTCCTGATGCAAGGCTCTTCTCTTCTCTGCGCCGTGAACACATGGTCACTCAGCTCCATCTGACACTGACAGACGCTCGCTCGCATGAGGGAGGAACGCCTATGAACGTCGACACAACCAATCATATGACTTTCATTAACAGAGTCATATCTGACTTCATACAGTGGATAAAAATCAAACACATTCATATTCACAAAATATGGAGATAGACAAGAAATATCATTCATACATGTTTAATACACCAGTATTTATTACCTGTAGGTCATCAGAAAACAGAAGCTGTACAAAGAAAGACCTTGGTACTTTACAACATGACCATAATCAACAAAGATCAGCGAGACCACTTTGCAATGTACTAAACATTTCTGTGCAATAGAAAATAAATGAATATGATTTAATACTCATTGCTATTTACAAATAAAACTAAAGGTAAACATTAATTTCACCAGCTGCTAGCAGGACAGCCGGGTGAAACGACTCTAATGTAGCAGAGTAAATGAATCGGAAAAATGAGGAGAGTTGACCGATAAAAAGCATCTTCTATATAACTACTGTTTGAATGGAAGATTTCAGCAGGATTCATAGACTATCACATTTTAGGAATATCATATTCACGCTGCTTTTTAAAGAAAATACAAAATATAACAGGTCCTTAAATTCAAATTAAATCACATTTCATGAATACATACACACTATATTTTCTTTTTCAATGCATTTTGTATTTTTTAAAGGGGAGGAAGGGTAATGTATAATCATTTGAAAATAATTTATGGATATATAAATTGAATACTGCTTAATCTGCTGAATTATAAAAAAATTATTTACTGTTTGATGGCTTTGTAAGTTTGTTTGGGAAGTTTTGTGAGACAGCTCATACTTATGATGTCATAATATTACACAATAATATATATATACAGTATATATATATATATATATATCAGATCCAACAAAAGTGCTACACATGTACAATGAGCCCAGAAAGTATTTGCACACTTAAACCACACTTCATGTATGGATGTATATGCATTAGATAACAATATCAAAAGTAAATATATTTGCATTTTTGATGACGTGTGTGTGTCTGTGTGTGTGTATAGTACCACTTTTAATTAATTAAAGTTTTATAAAATACTCTCACAAGTTTTAAATAACACAGACATAAGCTGCTTAATGATATTGATATATTAAATAGTAACTGCTCAAAAGAGTCGTTCAGGAATCGGACTCACATTGGTCGTGTTGTATATTTTTGATGCAGTATAAAATACCAGTTCATAAGAGTCATTGTATAGTTTGGGAAACAGACTACACTGGACACGTCGTATGTTTTTGATTCAGTATAAAATACAAGTTCATAAAGGTCATTTGTTCAGAAATTAGACTACACTGGATGTGTCATATGAACCAGTGCTTTTTAGTGAATCAAAAACATGACACAACCAGTGTAGTCCAATTCCGAAACAAATGAATCTTATGAACCGGTTCTTTTTAGTGAATCAAAAACATAAGATTAATTTGTTTGGGAATTGGACTACACTGGATACATTGCACATTTTTGCTTCACTAAAAAGAACCGGTTCATACGAGTCAGCTGCTCCGGAATCGGACTGCAGTGGTTGCATTATTTGTTTTTGATCCAGTATAAAATACTGATTCATAAGAGTTATTCATTCAGGAATTGGACTACACTGGATGCGTCATATGTTTTTGATTCACTAAAAAGAACCGGTTCATAAGAGTCATTCGTTGGGGAATCTGACTACACTGGACGCGCCATATGATTTTGATTCACTAAAATGAAGCTGCTTTTAAGAAGCGTTTTGTCTTGCACTCAGTGTCGGTCGTGCAAAAAACACCATCAGAATAGTTTAGTACAGTATTTCGCAGCATTGGTAGAAAATGCACATTTTGGAAGTGAACATTACTCGTTTCCAGTATTTAAAAATGCAACCAGTTCCCCATCTAATGCAGTTACATTCAGACATATTAAAGTTTATCTTGCGTGACCAAATACTTTGTAGGGCCACTGTATTTTGCATGTCCACTGTCCTGTGAGAATTGGCAACAATTAGTAACAAAATTTCAGTATTTTTTAATCAATAATAAGGCAGAAACTATCGGTCTTCCCATGAGACCCATTGTCTTGACACGTACATCATTCATGTAATTAGATACCAGACATTGAAAATGGGGCATAAACCCCACAATCAAAAGTCATACTACTGTCACAACCACTTTTCCTCGACAACTGTATATCGACCAATTATTATAAAAATGTCTGAATGGAAAGCTATAACAAAAAATACGTATTTAAAGTCTGTTGAGCAGAAAAGACACATCATAGAAACTATACAATGCACAAATGAGTGAAAACAAAAGGACGTGAGGTCTTTAAAGAGTCCCACTCTGAGATTGATTTTTACACTTTTTCAGCTATCCCGTCTCACTGATGTGCTCCAGATTCATATTCGCTTGCCTTGAAGAATCATTGCTTCTGAGACATCAATGGTTCAATGGCGAACGCTTTCCTTGCTGCACTAATATAGTGCAAAATAACACCTGGAATCAGAGTGGGACTTCCAGGAGAACATGATTTGTCTCGTTTTCACCTTCCATAGAAAGGCTGCATCTTCTGTGAGCAAATGTCGTCCATGATATCTGAAGATCCCAAGTTTCCTTACGTGTTCTCTACTATGTGTGTTGTATGTTTTGGCATTGTCTGTTCAATAGCTCCTTCCAAATATTGAATCCCCTCAGCTGGGAAGCACAAGTCGGAAGAAAGTTGTTCCGATAAGGTCCTGACCCATCGTATAGTAGACCGCAGTTGCATAATTGACAAATACTTGTAAGGAACTGAATATAAACAAAGGCATGATCTCACAGCGTGAAGATGTGTGTAAAGGCTCTTCCAGAACAAGAACATGAAGTAAAAATAAAGTATGAAAGTTTTTGTTTGCGGCTCTTGGATGTTTCTTCTTCCTCTATGTTGGATTCAAGCATTTAGGGTCCAGTATTTGAGATGGTTAGGCATTTTTTTTTTTTTTTGGAGGAGTATTTGGTTGAATCTCAAGAACATTCCTGGATCATACTTCACCCCAAAATCAAATGGTAAAAAGGTAAGGAATTACATTTTTCATAAACAAAAAATGAAGCCTAAGGACTATTTGTATTGTGATATTTTAATGACAATTAAGCACATTTACCCCAAAAACTTATTGTAATGTAAAAACTCTCATATTTTACTATATTTCACTAAATAAGTATTAATACATCATGATATTTGTTATATTGTCTTTAATTTATTATGATTTAAAATAATTTAAAAAATGAGAATCACCGTTGACAATACTGAGAATTACAAAAACACTGAAAGTAAATTGTTCAGATGCATTACAGTATAAAAGAAAGTGCTTCATTTTCATAAATAATGCAATAATGTCATTTTCATAATCTTATAATGTACAAAGGTGCTAAAATAGGCTTTGTTTCATTTATGCAAAATATCATTACTTCATTTTTTCTTTTGAATTAGGGGTATAATGCGACCAGGACATGTTTTCATGAGATTCAACCATTTGCTGATGATATTTTTCATGATGTTAGTTTTCCGAGAAGGGCTACATGTCCACATCTCCGTCGTATGCCAGGGTCAGGGGTTTCAAGCGATTATTATTTTGTCTTCGCTGAGGTTTCTTTGGCTTTTTGCTGAGGACAAAAGAATGATGCGGTTGTCACTCTCAAAACCTTGCAGTGTGAACACAGACTGTGTGTAGTTTATCTTATGAGAAAATGTTATGGCATATGATACAAAAATGAAATCATGAAATGTGTAAAAAAAACAAGACGATGAAAAATCAGGATGATCAGTAATAGTTCAGTTATGACTTATGATGAAATATAATAGGTGCCCTGATAGGTGCAAAATGATGTGTAAAGCAGTTGGACTTCATTAAAGACTGCACTGGCCTAATTTGTTTTCAGCATTATTGCAACATATAATCATAAAAAAAAAGTTGCTGCTCCAAAACCTAGCGAGCTGCCCCCACAGGCAACATTTTCAGGCATAATAGATGCAAAGTCTGTTCCAAAATGTAGGAAATGATAATGCTGCCTACTGAAACATCTCATTTGGGCCTAATTCTAAGGCAAAATCACATGTATCCATCACAGAGAATGCAATCCCAAAAATCATTACGGCATATCAGTAAAAAAATTAAATTAAATGATGGACAAAGTGTGAGAAATGTTGTTTATGAATCAGAAATGAACACTATTTTTGAGTAACTGTTTTTAATGGTTTTAGTTTTAGCTACCTAATAATAACCACTCTTAGAAGGCAGTATGTAGGCAGTAGGAACCAATGCAAGCTCACTAGGATTTGCAACAGAGCAATTTTTAAAAATCCTTTTATAAACCAATAAACCATAAATAAGCAGCCTACCCGGGCAGCTCGATGCATTTAGCATCAGAACGTAAGGCACAGACTGAGGTGGAGGCACGAGGCAGAGGGGGCTGAGATGTCAGGACATCAGGAGCCTGTTTCTCCAGCCTTTAACTGGCTCTTGACTCTTGACTTGGCTGCTGGCACTCAGGGCAGGTGTATGTCAGCTCATGGGCATCTTGGCCCATCCATACCACCGTACCGTTGGCAGAATCTGGCGTCCCGAGTGACTGCCGGATGGCACAGTAACTGCTGCTCATGACGGCGAGGGAGGCATGGATGAGGGTGGGGTGCGAGTTAAAGAAAAACAGAACCAAACGAATGCATGGAGTGAATGAGAAAATAAAACGAGTGATGATGGCGCGAACGGAAAGGGTTGTCTTTCTTACCATGCGAGGTAAATCATTGACACTATAAATACCAGGAGGACAAAAACACCTGCCGCCACGCCGTACACCCACGTCTTCAGCTTTCCATCTAAAGAGGTGAAAAATATTTAGCATAGGCCAATAAACAGAAGCAAAATGCAAAACTATATTAAGTTGGTTGGTGTCTTAATGCCATGCCATCTTCCTGGGCTATTTTCATAGCTCCCAAAGTTGAAATACTACAAAAGATCAATTTAAAACAACTAACTCTGAGTTCTGGCAATTCTGGATTTTTTTTTTCATTTAGAATACTCAGTTTAGATCTTGCAATTCTGACTTTTTTCATCAAATCGCAAGCCTATACTAACAAGGTTCTAAACTAGTAATTGTGAGTTAACATTTCACAATTGTTATTTTTCCCCCTGAACTCTGAGTTTACAACTTGAAATTATTTTTCCCACCACAGAAAAAAAACAAAATTATTGCAATATTTGATCTCGCAGTTCTGACTTTTTTTCTCAGAACTGGGAGTTTATATCTCACACCTGCTAATAAAGCAATTAGCAAAAAGTTATAAACTAATAATTCTGAGTTTACATCTCGAAATGGTTAGAATTCTCAGTTTAGATTTTGCAATTCTGACTTTTATTTCTTTGAGTTGCAAGTTTATATATCGCAATTTCAAGTTTTAAACTAGTGATTGAGTGTTATTTTATCCATGGGATAAAAAATAAAAAAGGTTATTGCAACTTTTTATCTGACAATTCTGAGTTTTTTTTTATCTTACAATTCTGGCTTCTTCTTTCTTACCATGCGAGGTAAATCATTGACACTATAAATACCAGGAGGACAAAAACACCTGCCGCCACGCCGTACACCCACGTCTTCAGCTTTCCATCTAAAGAGGTGAAAAATATTTAGCATAGGCCAATAAACAGAAGCAAAATGCAAAACTATATTAAGTTGGTTGGTGTCTTAATGCCATGCCATCTTCCTGGGCTATTTTCATAGCTCCCAAAGTTGAAATACTACAAAAGATCAATTTAAAACAACTAACTCTGAGTTCTGGCAATTCTGGATTTTTTTTTTCATTTAGAATACTCAGTTTAGATCTTGCAATTCTGACTTTTTTCATCAAATCGCAAGCCTATACTAACAAGGTTCTAAACTAGTAATTGTGAGTTAACATTTCACAATTGTTATTTTTCCCCCTGAACTCTGAGTTTACAACTTGAAATTATTTTTCCCACCACAGAAAAAAAACAAAATTATTGCAATATTTGATCTCGCAGTTCTGACTTTTTTTCTCAGAACTGGGAGTTTATATCTCACACCTGCTAATAAAGCAATTAGCAAAAAGTTATAAACTAATAATTCTGAGTTTACATCTCGAAATGGTTAGAATTCTCAGTTTAGATTTTGCAATTCTGACTTTTATTTCTTTGAGTTGCAAGTTTATATATCGCAATTTCAAGTTTTAAACTAGTGATTGAGTGTTATTTTATCCATGGGATAAAAAATAAAAAAGGTTATTGCAACTTTTTATCTGACAATTCTGAGTTTTTTTTTATCTTACAATTCTGGCTTCTTCTTTTTTTTCCTTGCTATAGTACTTATTTTTTATTTTGTGGTGGAAAAAAAACCCTGAATTGCAATATGTAAACTCGAAATTCAGAGCAAAAAAACAACAACAACAGAATTGCAACATATAAACTCTGAATTTTTAGATAAAAAGTTGCAATTGCCTTTTTAATTTTTTTTTATTCCATGACAAAAACAAGCTTCAATAAAAACTTAATTGTCATTCAATAAAGAAAAAAATATTTGAAAAGTATTTGCTGAGTAATATAACTTTTTAGACCTTTCAGCATAATTAAATAAAATATATGTTTAAGAGAAACTGGACTAATGAAACATTTACCAGGTCCAAAGGGTTGCAGGTACCAGGTGCGTCCGGCGCGGCCAGGCTGTACCGTGGTGGACAGGGTGGGGTTGATGGCCCGGCTGGTCTTCACGTCAGCTTTCTTGTCCCCTGCAGTGGGAATTTCGAGCACAGGGATGGGCGTACACTGCTCCAGCATCCCCTCGGCCGTCAGCACCTCGGTATAGCCCTCCTCGCACATACATACGCCCTCCTGCAGGGGGCAGCAAAGGCACATAAATACTATCATGCTTTCTGCTTCCTCTCAAAGCTTGTGACCCAATTCAGTCCTAAAACCAAGACATTTCTGCACTCTCAGTTCTAAAAGGTCAATGTTTTTTCAATGGGTTTTTGGTTAAATGCACCTGAAATAAGGTCTGTGGTTAACACAAGCTCATTTTATTCTATGGCATGAAATACATCAGTAATACGGCACTTGGGATTTTTTAAGTCTTTTTTTTGTTGCTAAATATGACTACAGAGGTTGTCGGGGACATTAAATGTCATCACACTGAACAGAAAAACTCATCTACTCAGTAGTTGCTTTTACAGCCTTGCTGCATTCATAACCACGCTCTTGCAAACTTTCCAACATGGTAATTTTAAGTAAACACTGAAAGAGTTGTTGAAGCTTAATGGCGGTGACGGTGAAGTTGTGCAACTGTGGTGTAGTTCATTTATAGCCTAACTTTAGCTTTTTACTTCTGCTGATTTAATTTAGACTTCACAATTCATAAAAGTTGTGCTCATTTTTGAAGATCAACTTGAACAAAATGTGTAAGATTCATAAACCTTCTGCAATAATCAAAAACCAGTGGAAAAATAATGTTGGGTTTTGGTCGAAGGAACCAGTGTGATGTTAACTTCTGGATTGGCCTACATTGACCAAGAAAATAAATGTTATCACCCATCCATAGTGAAAAGAGAACATTCACACATTTCTGTGTTACTGTGCAAGGGGATTGTGGGTAAAATTATCCCAAAAAGCATGCACGCTTCAAAAATCGACTAGAAGTATTTGTACAGCTATGACTTTGTATGCACTTATTCTTTTCTCAAAATGATTAAAAATGCAAACACATAAAAAAGCTAATTGAGCATGCTTCAGAAATATAGATCAATTGCATCCAAAAATAAAAACAAAAGTACAGCTTATGACCATGATTTTCTGTTGCATTCATTATGATAATTGCAGCCGGAGCACTGTCTGCAGTTACAGACTCTCAGGCTCAGAACTGCAGTAATCCCACAATCCTCTTGTGTCTTGCCTCTGAGCAAAATGACTGTGGTTTGTCACAAGGTGGATCACATGACTGGTCCGTCCCTGGCAGTAGAGCTGGAGGGCATCCACCTGGAAGAAATAAGAGGGTAGAGATCATTTTCAAGCTTTTGACAACTCGGCTTGGAAGAAAGTAATAGGTCAATCAGGAATGTGCATACATACAATATGTGCTAGAAAAATGGCATCTTTTGCACAATATACATATTACAGTATATACTGCATACTGTGTGCAGATGCTGGTATCATAGTCTACTATGTTCTGTAGTGCGTCATGATAATATACACCATCTAAAACCACTGTATTTAAAAGAGAACTCTGCTAATTCGTTTTTTAAATTATTATGCATGCAGCTTTCATGAGCTCATTTATTCAGAAGCTACAAAAATTCATTTGTCACACCACAGGACCATTAAACATGACCTCGAGAAGGCAAAAAGGCATTTAAAAGTGGCAAAAAACGTATAAAAAATACCAACAGAACCTAAGATGTACTCATTGCTTTATACTGTACATGCATAAACATTTTAACCTGAAATCTTGAAATTGATTAAAAAATTAAACACAAACTGTGCATCAATGACCCATTAGCAAAGGGGCTCTGATGGTTTGTTTTGGTATCTGTTATTCCTCATTGGCTGCTTATTCATGTGACGTAAAGAAACAGATGTGAAGCGGTGTAGAACAGCACCTGTGACGTTTATTCCATCCGAGCGCTGACACCAGATCAGCTGAGGATTGCCCATCCACTGGTACTCATAACACTCCCCATCTAGATAGAAATCAATAGAGTAAATATACATTCTGCGGCCGTACACTTTTAGGCAGCTGTAGAGAGACTCGATAAGGGTGTTTTCATACAATCTTGTTTAAAAGTACCAAAACTATTCAAATGAACCAAAATGTGAACCAAGTGCATGGTTGACGGTAGCCATTGACTTCCATAGTATTTAAAAATACTATGAAAGTCTATGGCTACCGTCAACTGTTTGGTTGCCAACATTCTTCAAAATATCTTCTTTTGTATTTGACGGAAGAAAAAAACATGTTTGCAACAAGTGGGTTGCGACAAAATGACGACACAATTTTCATTTTTGGGTGAGCATTTGTAACAAATCAAGCTGAAGACATCCAACTGCATTTCATGTAAAATTCTTAAATACATGCACATAAATATATACATGCCCTTGTGAAAAAGAAGTATGCTTAATTGTATTGAATGTGCACTTATAGGCCTAGTGCACTTTAAATCTTAAAAGTATATTTTTGAAAACTGTACATGCAAATATAATATTAGTGCAATAAAAGGCGTTTACAGGGTACACTTTCATGACTATATTTCTCAACACATTTATGCACAGTACATATTACACAGTACGTGTTTTAAATTCTTATGTTTTAATTGTTTTGTTGTGCTTTAAAGTAATACACTTATTTTGATGTGTTGACTAACGTACAAAGCACATGTAAAGTACTTGATTGTAATTTTAACTGTAGCTTGTTCTTTGATATTACATTTAAAGTTCACATTTTCAATGTACTAAATTGCAACATCATTATAAATGTGTAATTATAAATATATTTAAATACATGACATACAAATTTCAGTAGAAATGACATTAAAGTATATTTTAGTTTTGCATAAATGCTTCAAGTAATTATGAAATTACATACAGAGATATACTTAGATCCTACTTAAGTGGATCAAAAAACCTCTTATGTTCAAATAATTGTATTTAACTTACATTTAAACTATAATCATGTAATTACAATTAACATGCAATTAAGTATCCTGAAAGATTACATCACAAAGTATATTATTTCCATAACAAGTACTCTTTTTAAAAGTATGCCCAAGTGTACTTGTTTTTGTGAAGATGATGCCACTATAAAACAAATGTGTGTTATAAAATGTTACATTTTTAAAATTCTTCATGTTGAATAAAATCAAAGTAAAGCAGAGTCTTTATGCCAATGAGAGAGGAGGAGCATGTGTCTCACTGCTGCAGGGCCGGGTCTGCCACTCCTGATCGGGGCACTGAGCGATGTTCTCCGGCTCCTGCGCAATGACCGCACGTGAACGGACCTGCACCGGAGTGAAGTCCAAACGCTGGCCCTTCACACACACACTCTGACACGGGCTCCAGTCGGACCACTCCATCAGGTAACAGTCACCTGAACAGATCAACACGAGAGCTGAGCTGCCTGATAACCAACTCACTTCAGCATAACAACAACAGAAGCGTTGGGGAAGCTGTCAAACTCTAATTTGACATGTAATAATTCACTTATAATTTGGCAATATGAAGTAGCCAAAAAGAAGTAGAAGTAGAAAGAAGTAGTTCAAATGTAGTCATAGCTACCATTTTAAGAATGTTATCTACAATAGAAAAAAAAAAAAAGAAGCTGGGCATTACATTGAAGCTATTTAAGGGAATAATATTTTAGATTATATATTTTAGAATAATTATCAGATTATATATTAAACAAATATTAAACAGATTTGTGATACAAAACAATGAAAAACTCAAATAGGGTGACAGAATCATATATAACTAACTTGAAAGTGGTGACAAACAGCAATATTGTTGTATAACTAAATATTTATAAAAAAAATAAAACAGTTGAATGACACACAGGGTCAATAATATTAAGGAATTGACCGATAACAAAGGAATTTAATTAATAAAAAAGCCTGGGTTTGCAGGTTTATGGGGGGGAAAAAGTAAAACATTACAAGAATTTCTAATGCATATAGTAAAAATAATGTTATATACGTATATATACTATATATATATATATTAGTGCTGTCAAATGATTAATTTCGATTAATTGCATCCAAACCAAAAGTTTTTGTTTACATAATATATGTGTGTGTACTGTGTATATTGACTGGTAGTGTATTCGTTCAATATTATATAGACTTTATATTCAGAATAAAACCAACAAATCTATAGTGTTGTCATTCTTGGGTTGCTGGGGTTTTTTAATTAGTATTTTTTTGCTGTATGTCCCGATAACAGTCTGTTACCAGGGCAGGGTAAGGTGCAGGTCTCCTCCAGAACAATATTCTTATCTCCATCGACGGCCTGCTCCAATCCAGCACAGAGCTCTTCCTCTACAATGACGGAGGAAGATCAGAGAGAATAATAGAAGAGAAGACGAGGTTGACAGCGAGATTGGAAAACAAGGTGTTGGAAGAGCGAGGAGTTCCAGCGCGGGTCGTTAACGCATTCAGAGCGTGTGCCGTTGGGCGATTGAGGTGTTTAGCACCAACCATTGTTCTGTTGTACAATACAGTTCAATAAACACTAAAACCTTTCAATTTCATGAGTCACAATGGAGATTAGTAGAAAAAAACAACAACAAAAAACAAAAAGCAAAAGATTAGATGATAAACTTATTATAGATTAGGGATGTACACAACTGTTCAAAAGTTATTATATATTTTTTTTATTAAACTTTTATTGAGCAATGATGCATTATATTGTTTAAAAAGGACATTAAGACAATAATATTATTTTAATATTATATTCATTTCTATCATAAATATTCATCTTTTGAACCTTATATTCTTCAAAGAATCCTGAAAAAATGTATCATTTCCACTACAATAATAAACAGCACAACTGTTTTTAACATTGATAATAATAATAAATGTTTGTTGAGCAGCAAATCAGCATATTAGAATGATATCTGAAGGATCATGTGACACCAAATCTTACCGACCCAAAACCTATGTACTATTGTGAACTTTAGTGTGGATAGTTTGACATTGACAATTTGTCTTTTTTTAGAAAAAAAATCATGAATTGTGAAATATGGACTTGACCTAGAACCTTCACCGAGTTCGAGTCCGAGTTCACCAAACTTTGAATGTTTTCTTTGAACGTGACTGCATTTCTGTGATGAAGTTTCATCTTGAAGTGCTTAAGTTCAGATTTGCTGACCTTGGATCTGTGAATTTACATTCAGCTGTTTGATCTATAAGAACTGAAAAAGACCTCAACACGGCACTCGGACCATGGGCCGTACTGCCATCTGTAACAGGGTCTCACAGGACACGGCTTCCACTGCTCCATCTGAGACGGACACGGCCTGCCGTCCCCCTGAGACGCCTCAACCACCATCCGTCTGTGCCACATCTTCCCTGAGGAATTGAGACATAAGACAGAGAAATGAGTTTGAGCTTCAGTTCCACAGAGAGCAACACAATTTAAAGAAATAGCTGACCTCAAAAATCTTGTTCTGTACCACAGTAAAAATATGGTAATATGACTTTTTATGTAGTTATAAATACTTCACAATTATATTATATCTTTTTTTTTGCAATACATTTAGAAGAGATTTTTCACACTACCATGCAAAGGTTTGGGGTCAATATGATTTTTTAAAGATGTTTTTAAAAGAAGGCTCTTTCATCAAAAATACAGTAAAAAATAGCAATATTTTGAAATAATTATTACAATTTAAAATAACAGTTTACTATTTGAATATATTTTAAAATGTAATTTATTCTTGTCATGCAAAGCTGAATTTTCAGCATCATTACTCCAGTCTTCAGTGTCACATGATTCTTCAGAAATAATTCAAATATGCTGATTTGCTGCTCAAGAAACATTTCCTTTTATTATCAATGTTGAAAACAAGTTGTGCTGCTTCATATTCTTTGTGGAATCCATGATACTTTTTTCAAGGTTCTTGGATGAATTGAAAGTTCAAAAGAACAGCATTTATTTGAAATATAAATCTTTTGTAACATTATTAATGCCATCACTGTCACTTTTGATAAATGTATTGCATCCTTGCTGAATAAAATTATTAATTTCTTTCTAAAACAAAAAATAATAAAAAAAACTTGCAGACCCCAAACTTTTGAATGATAGTGAACATTACGAAAGTGAAAAATAAAGTCACAAAAGTTTAGATTTTTCAGAGTGAAATATGACCTGATCTTGTTTTTGACAGATTTGGTGCTCTGCTTGCATACACACACACACACACACACACACACACACACACACAATCTCCACACACTCATCTTTCAGTGTCTAGCTCAAGGCACGGCAGTCTCAGATAACTCTAGCTTATTCCACATGTGTTTAGCATAAAACTGCACACAATGCACCGCCTTCTGTCTCGCTCTGCTTTTTCTGCCTTATCTTGGAAGTGTTTGGCAGGCAGACTGTCAGTTTCTATCTAGTGCTGCTTCCATCTGTTTTCGTCGAACAGTACCTTCTCAAAGTCCACCATTTCATCATGTGTTTCCGAAGCTCCATTCTCCTATGCTGCCTTTTTTCTGCATGCTCAATTTTACAGCCTACATACTTAGCTAATGTCAAACAGGTGAGCATGGCACCAGCGACACTAAGACCAATGTTTTGCTTTGTTTTTCTTTACTTTAAAGTTGCACTTCAGTCAGAAAATTAGATTTTCAGCTTGCTATTTTGATGTGTTTTCCAATTTTGTGTGCAATTTATTGGGCTGAGATGATAAGATGATTTTTTAAAGAAATTAATCATTTTATTCAGCTAGGATGCATTAAATTAATCAAAAGTCAGAGTAAAGATATTTATAATATTACAAAAGATTTATATTCCAAATAAACTTTCTGTTCATTAACAATCCTGAAAAAAAAAAAAAACAATGTATCATGGTTTCCACAAAAATATGAAGCAGCACAACTGTTTTGAACATTGATAATAATAATACAAGTGTCTTGAGCGGCAAATCAGTATATTAGAATGATTTCTGAAGGATCATGTGACACTGAAGACTGAAAATTCAGCTTTGCATCACAGGAATGTTAACATGTATTAACATAGAATACGGTTATTGTAAAAATCAATATTATTTCACAATATTACTGGTTTTTATGTATTTTGATCAAATAAAAGCAGCCTTAAAAAAATCTAACAGTCCCCAACCTTTTGAATGTGTGTATCTGACAATTACAAATACATTTAATACAGCAGTAAGAAGTCATATATTTGTTCATTTTTTTGGCTTTACCTTCAAGGCCACAGGTCTGTGAGCAGTCTGACCATGCTGACCAATCAGAGAGCTGACAGTTGACTGGACACTCCACCGTACAGGAAGCATTCATCTGCCATTTCTTCTCTAAGCGCAGCTGCGGAATGAAATAAGCATTCATGAAAAAAATTATTATTATTATTATTATTATTATTTTTTTTTTTAGAACTAGGGGTAGTTGTGTTCTACACTAGACTAATTGTAACCCTGATATAAAGTGGGCTGGTTGAAAACTGGGTTACAGGGTTAATATGCCATGCATTAACACTTTTAAGATTTATTGCCCATAGGGTCCAATTAAAGTGACCAGAGCTGTCGGATTTTGACTGATCTTTTGCCATCTCTTTTCACATTAACCTACAGTTTAAAATGGCACAAAATAACCTTGTTTCTTTTCCACTCGATCTCAACATCATATTAGTAGATATAACATCATAACAGCAGATTTAGAGACTTAAACATTTTATTACATTTTTCTTTCTTTTTTATGTTTTAGTGGTGTTTGCTATAATGCATATTTTTGAGGAATATACTGTTTAAAAGTTTGGGGTTAGTAAGATTTAATTTTTTAATATAAATTGAAAGTTTTATTAATCAAGGATGCATTAAATTGATCAAAAGTGACAGTTTAAGTTACAAAAAAAATTCTATTTCACATAAATGCTGATCTTTTGAACATTCTATTCATCAAAGAATCCAGAAAAAAATGACCACAGTTTCCACTAAAATATTAAGCACAACTGTTTTCAAATTGTGCAAATCAGCATATTAGAATGATTTCTGAAGGATCATGTGACACTGAACACTGGAGTAATGATGCTGGAAACTTAGCTTTGCATCACAGAAATAAATTACATTTTAAAATATATAAAATTAGAAAACAAGTTAATTGAAATTGCAGTGATAATTCACAATATTACAGTTTTTTTTTACTGTACTTGTTGTGATCAAATAAACACTGTCTTGTGAGCAAAAGAGACTTCTTTCAAAAACATGAAAACAATCTTCCTGAACCAAAACCTTCGAATGGTATTATATAGTTTTATATAGACAATGTAGTATATTTTTCTATATTAAAACTTCAAAAACATTTTCATTCTTCTTGAGAACAGATTCCATTCAAACGTTATTTAGATCATTTCAGTAGCTGTAACTTTGTAAACTATATATTCAAGAAAATCTCTCGGTGATTTACAATGACAGAATGTTCACTAATCAAAATGTAACCAACGGTGATGACATCACTGTAATATTGTAACATTGCACAGATTTTTGTGTAACAACATAAAATAAAGCAGACACTGAGGGTTATAAGAGTCATGAAGCTTTTCATTAACACAGAATCAAAGTGTAAAAACCCACACTTTCCTAAAACTTTAACACTATTCTTTTGTTGGTACTGGAAAAGCAACTCTAGCTACTACTACTGAGAAGAAAATAATAATATTCACAAGAGGCAGTGTCTGTGAATAAATGCACAAACCTCCTCGCAGTACTTGAGGTCAACAGATTTGCCGTCACTTCTAACGCAGTCCAGCATCCTCGTCTTGAGACCGATTCCACACACAGCGCTGGCACTTAATTGGCACGTGCTCCAGTCTAAGTGAACACACACACACACAGATTTCACCCTGCGAGTTCTCATTAAACTACACGGCTAGGTCAGAGGTTGCTTGCGTCCTCATGAGTGGATGGTTTGAGGACACCGTCTCAGCTCCATAAACCGACGCCACCGCTGCGTTTCACTTTGACACTCTTGGAGGGGAATCGTGAATGAAGTCTGAACAGATGGAGGAAGCAGCTCCAGTAATGATCTAAACTCTTGAATGACTCATTCATGTGAACGGTAACTCAAAACAAGTAAGAGAAAAGGAAGTGCTGTGTGGATAATGCCCAGACTAGAAGAACTAAAAAACAACAGGCAGCCAAAGAGCAGGACAAAAGTGTTCAAGTCAACAAGAAACGGCATTCACAACCAATTTTACTGCAGTACCGTGGTGTATTTTTAGAGAGAAACAGGATGTTTTGAGGTAAAAATATTGATTCCCTTTCATGGGAACTTCGAACTGCGTCTTCTAGGGGTCGCTATGGGGAACGCCTCGTCGTGACCCATGTCTGAAGCATACATTGAAAAAACACCAACTCGTTGGCTGGCGACAGCCATGACGTCACTACCGGTGCGACTATAGTATAAATAGGCGCCGGGAGCACACATCATTCACTTCTTCGTCTTCATTGACTGTTTTGTTTGAAGCGTGCATTTCTGTGGTAAGAGCGATCTCTATTCATCTCATTATGGCGAGCACTAGCAAAGCGTTTAAGGATGTGTGCATCCGTGTTGACGTTGTTTAACATCTGATGACACACACGATCTATGCGTTATTTGTTTGGGCGAAGAGCACGCACGCGATGCCTCCGAGGGGGCAATCGGCGTGCACTGCAAGCGTTTTTTCCAAGGGAAAAAGCTCCGCTCTCGCTTGTCTCTCTTTTCGAAGAAAGAGGGGCAGCCGTCTGCTTCCCGCGATTCAGGACCCGCTGCTGCTGAGGCACATGGTTACATAAGTAACCTGAGACGTTTTATTTATTGATTTGGATCATTAATGTCACATTAACTTTAGAGAGGATACAGTTTGGCAAACCATTTGGGAAATTAAGACACCCATAAATATGACTGTTTTATCATTTTAATGTAATGCCAAATATAAAACTATTATAATTGTGATTTTTCTTAAATACCTGATTTTTTATTTTACAGTGAAATATTACAATACTAATATTTCTTGTTTTGTTTTTATTTAGAAATGTATATATTTTAGTTAGCAGTAGTAGTAATAATAATAATAATTATTATTATTATAATACATTTTTTAAATTAGATTAATTTTGTTTTGTTTAAAAAGGCCTTGTTTGTAAAGTTGCATATGGCCAATAATAAAGATAATTAATAATATATATATATTTTAAACACTCTTGTTTTTAGTGCTGCACAATTTGGCCAATAACAACAACAATAATAATAACAATAACAACAATAGCAGTAATGATAATAATAATTATTATTATTAATGGCCATGTGTGCTGCTTTTTAAAACTAAAAATAATAATAACCACATTTTAAATTATTATTATTATTATTATTTGGCATGTGTGCTGTTTTTTAACAACAAATAATAATAACAACCACATTTTAAATAATAAAAATAATAATTATTATTATTATTATTATTGGCCATGTGTGCTGCTTTTTTAAACAAATAATAATACTAACCACATTTTAAATAATAATAATAATAATTATTATTATTATTATTGGCCATGTGTGCTGATTTTATAAACTAAAAATAATAATAATAACCACATTTTAAATTATTATTATTATTTTATAGCCATATTGTTATAAAGTTTTTATTTTTTTTACGTATTTACTTATTTTTTAATTTATTTGCATTAAATTTGATTTTTTTCCTCAAATCAAGCAACCATAGTTAGGAAACCTGTTTGGGGGAACACTGTGCAGTTTTGGTCTACTCACCAGTGATGTTGTAACTGTAGTGAAAGCAGTTGCGGTTCAGGAGGAAGGGCTCGGTCTGCATGCTAACCGGACAGTCCTCTCCCTCTTTAGGCAGACGCAGCGCAAACGCCGTCCTCTCCCGATCTCCTCTTCCAGAACACGGCTTTAAGAGGCCAATAAAACAGACTGCTGTTCATTCACGTTAGTGAGCTCATAATTCTCTCATATTTCTCCTCAAGCTGCTCATTTAGTGTCTAACAAGTGACCTGCTCTCATCTTTTATGCCACTATTTATGCCTCAATGTAAGTTAGCTCTAACTGAAATCATATAAGCCCAGGATAAAATTATGTCCCTGTTAGCATAAGCCAAAAATGTTATTGCTCAGACTGCTCAAGGGTTTTAAGGGATTTCTTAGATGTCTCAGATGCTTAGGATAAAAAAAATAATAATTAAAAAAAAATCAGTGTTGTTATTGATAATTAGTGTTGCTATTGTTTTGGGGATTTAAATAAAGCTGGAATAAAATATAAATATTAGATTAAAAACATTAACTTAAAAAACTTAAAGAATGTCACCTTGGCAACTAGATGAAATAAATATCTTTATGTATTAAAATGATTAAAGCTAAAATTATAACTAAAGATATAAATTAATATAATAAATAAATGAAATAAAATAAATTTATTAAAGATAAAAAATACTCATGAAAATGACAAAAGCATATAAAATTATTAACATTATTAAAAATATTTTTTGGATTGAAATAAAGCTGAAAAAAAAAAAAGATAAATGTTACATTAACTAACTTAAAATATCTCTTCCCCCACAAAACTACTAAAACTGAAATAAATAAATTAAATCTAAATAGAACGATAAAAAAACAATTAAAAGGACAAAAGCAAATAACTAAATTACTAAATGACTAAAAATAATTTTAGGTTTGTGAAGCTGAAGTGGAAAAAAAATATCAGATGGAAAACTTAAACTGAAAAAACAAACGAAAATTAGAAATGTTGCCTTCACAACTAACAGAAATAAACTGTTGCAAGTTGAAGTACTATAATTGTTAAAACTAAAACTGAAATAAAAATAAATATAAACAAATATAAAACTAAAAAACTAATAAAAACGACAAAAGCACATAACACAAATACTAAAACCTAAACAAAAATGTGAGTTTTGAAAATATAAAAATAAACGCCAATTCAAAATATTGCACGTAATGCTAAAAAAATAAATATATATATATATATATATATATATATATAGTGGATAGTAGCTAAGTTGTTTGTTCTGAGAAATGTTTGAGTTTATATTGAGATCTTTTGATTGCAGACTTTGTTCTCTTGGCAAATCTGATGCACTGAGACACTGCTGAGATCTCCTCTGAAATGTGACATTACTAGGGTCTTTTCAAAGAAGAAGTGAAATATTACAAAAATGTAATTAATGCGGAGATGCGACCCTAGTGTGAACAGGGTTTAAAAGGATTAGCAATAATCCTGACCAGGTCACATGGGGTCCAGGGGCTCCAGTCGGACAGCACACAGTCCTCGGGACAGGGCAAGCGGCTCTCCCTCGTGCCCTGCGGCATCTCCTCTGGATCACACAGATAGTCCTCCACCGCATCAGAAGGACCGTCCACTGTGTTCAACATACACCTGCAGGACCATCAAAGCTGAGCACAGTATAATGTCAGTAACAGTACAGTAAATATAAGGAAAGACACTCACCTGACTCTTCTAGTCTGAATGCCCTCGCCACAGTTCTCCTTTAGATCCACGTTACTGACCTTCCACACACTCCAGGGTTCAGCTACCCAGATATACTGACTGCAGTCACTGACGCACGGGACCACCTCATACATCTGCAACACCAGATCATCCACCACACATATACAATCACACACAAAGCAAATCAATTAAAGTTAAATCAATCAATCAGGATATTCATTCAACAGATTTTCAAAAATAAATAAATAAATAAATAAATAATAAAAAATATTATTGATTCAAGTGCACCAGTTGCCAGTGTGCCATATCTTTAATGTGGGACACACCATTTTTGGAAGGGAGGCTACTTTTAAAATTTAAATCAACTTTGGAATGAGAAATGTAAAAAAAGAAAGACATACCTGTGCCTGTGGCCAAGCAGCGTTATTGGAGAGTTAGAGAAAAATGTCATTAGAACATCTGCGTCTAGAGACCAAAGCACTATAAAACATCATGTTCAGTTAAAAATGCACTTCTTGTTGTTTCTTTTTAAGAAACGGCATTGCTTAAACTCAACATGAAATACAGTTTACAAGACCAGAGATATCTATAACGAAAATAAATAGGTAAAATTTTGATTTCTCATTGACAGTACAGAAGGCTGTGTAATTACTTTCTCTAGACATGTTCAAATTTGTTAAATGTAAAACGACATGACCTCAAACCACCCTAATAATAATCTCTTAATTAATAAAAAGGAAAGCACTGAAATTAAACCAATACCAAGAATACATATTTGTCAGGAGCAAAGATCTCAGAAACACTTTAATGTGGTGTCGTTTATTTCTAGTAAATCTCTGTAAAAAAAAAAAAAAGAGAGATGAAAAGACAAGTATTTCTGAATAATTTAAGATTCACTTGTGAACCTATTTTTGGATCTTAAGCATGTGATTTTCACTGAATAATCAGAGCCAACGGTTCCAGAAATTGAGGGAAACTTTGAACTTGACTTTGTTCCAAAGCCTAGTGAACTGCCTATGTAGACAATATTTTAAGATATCACAGGTGTGCTCCTATGCCTTAAGCAATGTCAAATCAGCATGCTTGCCTGCTGATACCTTCTTTTGGACAAATTTTAAGGTAGCACTTCATGTATCCTTTGGCAATCCCACAGTGCATTACAATACACTCTATTCAAACTACACCCATCCAAAACGGGGGAAGAGGAAAGATAAATGGGGGCGCATTCCCTCCAAAAACAAACATACTCCACTGCGTCTTCAGCGGCTCAGATGTCGGGAGTAAATGACGACTGCTATGTTCATTACATCAACAACAGAGTTATTTGAGTGTCAATGATATACTCTACTATTAAAGATTTTGTTCATATTTTCAATTAGATTGCATTTTTAAATGTTTTGTCTTTAATTACTTTTAGTTTTAGTCATTTTGTTTTTGCCATTTTTATTAGTTTTTGTTATTTTTTATTTATTAGTTTTAGTTTATTTAATTTTTAGTTATTTCAGTACTTTATTACTTTTACTATATTTCAAGTAACATTTTTTTAATGGTTTTAGTTTTAGTTAACTATAATAACACTGGTATATTTATGCTCATTAGAATATGCTTTTTTAGCAAATATACTACACTAAAATCTGTATTGTATAAGGGTGTATTCACACCAGGAAAGTCCACTAGTTCACTTGCTTTGGTCTGGACCAAAAACAATGTTGATTTTTTTTGTTTGTTTTGTTTGGTGCGGTTCACTTTCACACTGCCCTTTTTGCAAGTGAACCAGAAATTGTAAACAAAACAACATGTGTTTCTTAAGGTCATCCATTCAACACTACCAGAGTTTGTTTGGAAGCGGACCGAGACCACCTCTTCAGTTGGGTCTCGGTATGGTTGTTTATTCACACCTCACCAAAAGGGGAAACAAACTTGAGTTTGATTCAATCGAACCAAGCAAGACAGGTGTGATTACACCCTAAAACTGTAATTGTAATGTGAATCTGTATTGTAGGTTTCATTTCAGTTAGTATGCGGTCTATGTAGGCAGATCACTAGGTGTTGGAACAGAAAAAGCAGGTACTCAATGTATAAGATATAAAACAATGTACATTAACATCTAATACCTTTAAAACTTTGTTTTAATGATTTTATTAAGCAAATTTATTATTTGAAACCCCTGCACCTCCATGGACTATATGTGACCCTGGACCACAATAAGTCATTTATTTATACATCATCTGAAAGCTGAATAAATAAGCTAGGATAGGATAGGACAATATTTGGTCGAGAAACAAATATTTGAAAATTTGGAATCTGAGGGTGCAAAAAAAATCAAAATATTGAGAAAATCGCCTTTAAAGTTGTCCAAATGAAGTTCTTAGCTATGCATATTACTAATCAAAAATTAAGTTTTGATATATATACAGTGGGAAATTTACAAAATATCTTCAAGGAACATGATCTTTACTTAATGCCCTAATGATTTTTGACATAAAAGAAAAATAAATAATTTTGACCCATAAAATGTATTTTTGGCTATTGCTACAAATATACCCCAGCGACTTAAGACTGGTTTTGTGGTCCAGGGTCACATATCTAAATAAAAAAAAATGTCATTTAACATCTTTAAAATTAATTTCTACATGCATATGGAAGTGTGGTGTTTACCTGGTTAAGGTGGTCCAGTTTTGGGCAGGGTCTTCCTCCATTGTAAGGCTTTTCTCTGAGCCATTTTGAGCGAACTTTGACCCCGCTGCCACAAGATTTACTGCAGCGCGACCAGTTGGACCATTCGCTGAGTTTACAATCAGACGGGCAGGGGACGATGCAGGCCTCCTCGATATACCCTAAAAACAGTATATATGTGAAAAAGGGAACATAAACACTAAACAAACTGTGGCTGGTCATTTTACATGTCAGTCAGATGGTCTCTCCTGTCTGCAGTTAAGCCTAGGGGTGTGCGATATTGACAAAAAAAAATTATATCTTGATTTTTATTGGGATTTTATCTTTATTTTTGATGACAATAATTAAATGATATTTTCCTAAGTGCAAGGGTGTAGGTATGATTTTGGCATTGGTGGGGACATGGTGGCAGACTGTTTGATCAAAATTATTGATAGGGACAATTTAGTAGGATAGTTGCTGGATTTGAGGACATGTGAACAGAAATCTGGCTCTAAACCAGAAAAAAAGATTTGCATTATGCGCTCCTAAGTCCCAATCTGAATCAAAAGATTCACGAACCCGCTCCGAAGTCCCGATCGAAATCAAATGATTCACGATCCGCGCTCCGAAGTCCCGATCTGAATCAAAAGATTCACGAACCCGCTCCGAAGTCCCGATCGAAATCAAATGATTCACGATCCGCGCTCCGAAGTCCCGATCTGAATCAAAAGATTCACGAACCCGCTCCGAAGTCCCGATCGAAATCAAATGATTCACGATCCGCGCTCCGAAGTCCCGATCTGAATCAAAAGATTCACGAACCCGCTCCGAAGTCCCGATCGAAATCAAATGATTCACGATCCGCGCTCCGAAGTCCCGATCTGAATCAAAAGATTCACGAACCCGCTCCGAAGTCCCGATCGAAATCAAATGATTCACGATCCGCGCTCCGAAGTCCCGATCTGAATCAAAAGATTCACGAACCCGCTCCGAAGTCCCGATCGAAATCAAATGATTCACGATCCGCGCTCCGAAGTCCCGATCTGAATCAAAAGATTCACGAACCCGCTCCGAAGTCCCGATCGAAATCAAATGATTCACGATCCGCGCTCCGAAGTCCCGATCTGAATCAAAAGATTCACGAACCCGCTCCGAAGTCCCGATCGAAATCAAATGATTCACGATCCGCGCTCCGAAGTCCCGATCTGAATCAAAAGATTCACGAACCCGCTCCGAAGTCCCGATCGAAATCAAATGATTCACGATCCGCGCTCCGAAGTCCCGATCTGAATCAAAAGATTCACGAACCCGCTCCGAAGTCCCGATCGAAATCAAATGATTCACGATCCGCGCTCCGAAGTCCCGATCTGAATCAAAAGATTCACGAACCCGCTCCGAAGTCCCGATCGAAATCAAATGATTCACGATCCGCGCTCCGAAGTCCCGATCTGAATCAAAAGATTCACGAACCCGCTCCGAAGTCCCGATCGAAATCAAATGATTCACGATCCGCGCTCCGAAGTCCCGATCTGAATCAAAAGATTCACGAACCCGCTCCGAAGTCCCGATCGAAATCAAATGATTCACGATCCGCGCTCCGAAGTCCCGATCTGAATCAAAAGATTCACGAACCCGCTCCGAAGTCCCGATCGAAATCAAATGATTCACGATCCGCGCTCCGAAGTCCCGATCTGAATCAAAAGATTCACGAACCCGCTCCGAAGTCCCGATCGAAATCAAATGATTCACGATCCGCGCTCCGAAGTCCCGATCTGAATCAAAAGATTCACGAACCCGCTCCGAAGTCCCGATCGAAATCAAATGATTCACGATCCGCGCTCCGAAGTCCCGATCTGAATCAAAAGATTCACGAACCCGCTCCGAAGTCCCGATCGAAATCAAATGATTCACGATCCGCGCTCCGAAGTCCCGATCTGAATCAAAAGATTCACGAACCCGCTCCGAAGTCCCGATCGAAATCAAATGATTCACGATCCGCGCTCCGAAGTCCCGATCTGAATCAAAAGATTCACGAACCCGCTCCGAAGTCCCGATCGAAATCAAATGATTCACGATCCGCGCTCCGAAGTCCCGATCTGAATCAAAAGATTCACGAACCCGCTCCGAAGTCCCGATCGAAATCAAATGATTCACGATCCGCGCTCCGAAGTCCCGATCTGAATCAAAAGATTCACGAACCCGCTCCGAAGTCCCGATCGAAATCAAATGATTCACGATCCGCGCTCCGAAGTCCCGATCTGAATCAAAAGATTCACGAACCCGCTCCGAAGTCCCGATCGAAATCAAATGATTCACGATCCGCGCTCCGAAGTCCCGATCTGAATCAAAAGATTCACGAACCCGCTCCGAAGTCCCGATCGAAATCAAACGATTCACGATCCGGGCTCCGAAGTCCCGATCTGAATAAAAAATTCGTGAAACCGCTCCGAAGTCCCGATCGAAATCAAATGATTCGCACTCCGAAGTCCTGATCTGAATCAAAAGATTCACGAACCCGCTCCGAAGTCCCGATCGAAATCAAATGTTTCACGATCCGCGTTTTTCATCAGTTGAAAGCATCTAGTCATCTCATTAGGTGAATATTTAATTGATCAGTACTGTAATAAATAGTCAATGTAAAAAGAGCAAATGAGAGAAGCAGATGAACACAAAACAGCATAACAACAAAGTTAAAAGGGTAATCATTTAGCTAACTGAACTGTGCACATATGTTTTAAACACTTCGGCTACCTTATATGTTCTTACTCCGCTCATGTAGGCTATTAAATGTGCGCCCTCGAAAGCATGCAGTTTCCTAGCGTATTTCTTTAACTTCTCAGGTAATATCAATGGTATGATCTATTTCAGATGCAGCCAAAATTACAACAACAGTGGTTACACATATATTAAATTTTTTGATCAAAATTATTGCTTGGGACAATTTAGTAGTCACTGGTTATTGGTAGGGACATGTCCCAAGCGTCCCTACTAAATTCTATGCCTTTGCTGGTTTAGGCCTGTCAAGGATAAATATGACACTAAAACTGCCAGTAGGTGACAGCAAGTCCCCGTCTTAATGAGTGATTCATTGAATCATTTACTCAAACGATTCATTCAAAACCACTGATTCAATTAGAAGCTCACCTGCTAATATTTAGGAAAATGACATTGTTGCTTGTGTGATCTTACGTTACCATATAAATACAAAAAACAAAACCCCATAATTCTTTCATAATTATAGGGTCATTCTAACTGCATTGTAATAGGCTTCATCATGCAGTGATTGCTTTTAGGCTTTTAAAACGTGTTTTTGTTGTTGTTTTGCAAAGTCAGTGACACAGGCTACTTGATAACATCAGCTCGCACATCATTAAAACAACAATTACGATATTATTGCAGATGATAAATATCGCAAAAACCCTTACTGAGATCTTTCTGGACAAAACAGGTCAAATAAAGTGGTCAAGCTGCTCAAAATTTTATTTTGTAACATTATAACCTTGCTGACCCAGGATCCTAGCAGCTTTAAACAAGTAGGTCCCACCAGCTAGTCAAACTAATATCTTGTACCAGCTAATGACCATAAATAAGCATCCAGAAACCACGCAAAACAAACTATCATCAAATGTAGCTGGATATTCCTGCAGGGTAATGATACAAACAGACTTACTGATTAAACATGCCACTTTGAAGTGGTTTAAATCTTGATTAAAAATGAAAAGCAAGCTTGTACCTCGCAGAGAACATTATGAGGTGCATAAAAAGTGTAAAAGCAATTGGTATAAATAGGTATGTTTGGAGCTGCAGTATTTGTGTGGAGAGTTGGCTGCGGGGTCAGAGAATGTGATATGCTTTAGCAGCTAATGCTGAATTTTATTACTGCTGTTTGCTCAAGCCATGTGTACTTCCTACTCATTTGGCTCAAGAGGATCTGCCTTTTCCAAGTACATACTGCAGGCCCAATAAACACACACACATAATGTTGTCTCTGAGCACCATATCCTTCGCAGCAGCCTTTCAAGAGCGGCCAACACTTGGCTCAAATGTAGAAATCGCTGCTTCCAAAATACTGTGGTAAATAATACATTATAAAACGGATGGTTCTGGAAGCTGATTGGTCAGTTCAGCGTTCCAGTCATTCACAAGCACACGATTAAAACAGCTATGATGTCAAACATATGTTCACAATATCACTGCACAACACCCACAGAGATTATTAACCTCAGCTTACATGACATGTGCTAAATCTTTAAGCACAGGGTTTTCAATTAATACATGTGCTTAAATAATGTTGTAACGAACATTTGTTTCCTTACTATTTTAATTATCCACTAACCATGCTGTATTATAATACAGTCACACATAAGAATGCATATATATACACAAACACAAATATAATGTTGTTTTTTTTGCTCCATGGGTGTTGATTGCTATACACGGCTTGTTTTGATACAAAAATAAGAGAAACACTTGGACGAGGGTCAGTCTGACTGTTTTCAACCTTGTTTTTGTTTCCTAAAACAACCAACTGGCCAGTTTTATTTGTTTTATTCCTTGCCAAAACCAATTATTACAGGTATTTGGCGCTTGCTGAGTGTTCATTTCGGACTCTGCATGCAATTGTGTGAAACTACGGTGCTAATGACGACATGAGTATCATGCATCAGAACAATTTAATGAGTAGACTCAATGTTATTTAATAAATGAATTTCACATAATAACAAAGAAAATGTTTATCCTGAAATCAAATGAAAAAAAAATGTATATACAGAAAATTAAGCAATTTGAGGGCCTCTGAGATTTTTTTGTTGTTGCATAATTTTCTTGACAATGTCGTAAATTTATAGTAAAAATATACATTTATTTATAAATTATGAAAGTACATAAAATGTACATTTAAAAATTGATTTTAAAAATAATATAAATTAATTAATTATAATAAATTACACATATGGTTTTCACCTTGCACATTAATGGAACAAGACTTTTTGACATTGTCAAGAATATCTAAAAATAAAAGTAAACTAATTTTTTTTTTAATAAAAGTGTTAAAACAATTAATTTATTAAAATATATAATTAATAAAATCAAATACAATTTTGAAATGAAAAGTCTAATAAAAATATCTTTAAAAATATCTTTTTTTAATAATTCTGTACATGTCTTTTTTAAAATTATG